CAGAACCAATAGGATACACACAACAGACATGCACGCACGCGGAGGTTGATTTACTTTACGGAATAAGGAATTGACTCATGCAATTATGGAGGCTGAGAAGTCTGAGATCTTCAGTGGGCAAGCTGGAACATTAACAAGTTAGAGCCCCAAGAGAGCTGATGGTGTGGTTCCAGTGTGCCTGAAGGCCTGAGAACTGGGCAGAGCGAATGTTTCCATGTGAGTCCAAAGGCAAGAAAAAGCTGATGTCCCAGTTTGAAGGCAGTCAGGCAGGAGGAATTTCTCTTACCTCCTGAGGGAGGGTCAGCCGTTTTGTTCTATTCAGGCCTTCAACTGATTGGATGTGGCCCACCTATATCAGGGAGGACAGTCTGCTTCACTGAATTGTAATGATTTAAATGTTAATCTCATCCAAAAAATGCCCTCACAGAAATGCCCAGAACAATGTTTGACCAAATAGCTGCGCATCCATGGCTCAGTCAAGTTTATGCACAAAACCAGCCATCACAATGGGGAGGGCACAGGTACAGGCTACTCTCCACAGAGGTCTTGGCCTATGGTAGATTCACTGGAGCGTGTCCCAGCAGGGTGGTAGTGAGGGTACACATTGGTAGTGAGGGTTAGGTTGTCTAGGCAGTGGGCCAGGTGCCATGAGTTCTTTGTCTGACTCATGGAAGGGAAGAAGGACCTCCCTCTGCAGCTGCCTGGGCTCCTCAGGTCCCACCACCAGAGGTAAGTTGGCCCAGGGCCTCTGGTGTAGGCCAGGAGGAGCTGGAATGAGCTGACCTAGGTGACAGAGGTTCATGCCGATAGGTGTATGGGGGTATTAGGGTTCTCCAGAGAAACAGAACCAATAGGATACACACAACAGACACGCACGCTGATGCATGCGGAGGTTGATTTACTTTATGGAATAAGGAATTGGCTCATGCAGTTATGGAGGATTGGAAATTCCATCCAATGGAAATATGGAAAACAAAGGATTGTTTTCAGCTCTCTGGTAGAGTGAGCCAGGTTACTGGGGGGAGGTGGACAGTGCAGGAGGGATGGCTGCCTTGACTTCCATTTCTGGACCAACTCTAGCCTTGGGACGGGGGAGGGAAGATCTGCCCTCCCCTCTCCTGACTGCCCCAGGTGACTTCTTCTCTACCTCTCCCCATCCCTTCCTCCTCCCAGGCTGCTTCTGGTTCCTCATCCCTAGCTGCTTGCTGCTGTGGTTGAAGGGAAAGCAGTCAGCTCAAGACCCCACTTATGGTCGGGTTACAGGACAAACACCAAAGAGGATTAGTCTCGTCCTTACAAAGCTGAGTCCTTTGTATTTTAGAGAGAATGGGGTCTCCTCCTTTCTAGACAAACCTTACCCATGACATCTTGTAAAATCTCTCTTGAGAATCTTCCACTTGGAGTAGATTATGTTAGCCAAATGTAAATAAATTAAGCTCCCAAGTCAGAGCATTTCATTAACAATGCTGTCCGTAATTAGAACCACTGTGAGGACTTTTGTATATTGTAAAGTGCGACTCAAATAGAATAAGAAAATAATAGAAAACATTTATTGTTCACTGTGTGCCCAAAGATCCTGTACGATGTGCCTTGTGTGCCTTATCTCATTTTGTCTTTGGAATAATCCTGTGGGGTAGATGCTGTTACTTGTCCCCCTTTTCCAGATGAGAAAGTGTGACCTGGGAAGATGAAATAACTTGCCAGCATGGATCCCACATTGATTAGACTGGAGACATCTTGACCCCATACAGCCCATGCCTTTAACCCTGTGGTATCACCTCCAATTACGTTCAGCTGTGACTCAGAGCTCGAGTTAAAAGCATCAGTCTGGCAGACCTGGACAGCCCAGAGAGGGTCCGCTCCTTGCTGTGGTGTTATCAGTAAAGCAGCCGCTGAGGCAGTTTGGTTTCTTTCTAATGCTTGAGATATGGTTGCATTTGAGGGAAGGAACTTCTCAGAAGTCTACTTCCCTTTCCCAAACATCTGCTCGGCTCTTGGGCTGAGGGGGAGAGCCTGCTGGAGAGGATGCAGGCTTGGAGGCCATGCTCTACACCCCCATTTTACCAGCTTGAAGGGTATTGTGGCCCACCCACTGGGCTTTCTGAAAGGAGCAGAGAATTAAGAACATATATATATATATATATGTATAAATTATATTTATATAAGTATAAATATAACTTATTAATTATTTGAGAGTGACTGTGGGGGAAGGGGCAGAGGGAAAAAGGAGAAAGAAAATTCCAAGCAGCCTCCATGCCCAGCATTGAGCCTGACGCAGGGCTCCATCTCACAACCCCGAGATTATGAGCTGAGTCTAAATCAAGAGTCAGACGCTTAACTGGCTGAGCCACCCAGGTGCCTGAGAATAAAGAATTAAAAGGGGATGTTGTTGGCAACGAGGTCTGGATGGCCTTGGAAGAAATGCCTGAAAGTGACCAGGCCTCCCTGTTAGCCACATGGCTGTCCAGTTGTCATCGTGGAAGAGATCCAGGTACAGAGAACCAGCAGCCTACTTTGGTTTTCAACTAAAACAAAAATGCTCACAGACTTGACTAGCAACTTTAGGGGTTCATATACCACTAGAGTTTTATCACATCCAAAGTGAAGAAAAAAATGCTACGGCATGTTACTTATGGGCTGCTCCTGTCTGTAGTTCTCACAGCTTAATTTGAAAGCTGTTGAAGGTTAGGCTGAGGAAGGAAAGGTAGTATGGTGGGGCCAGCATGTTTGTCCTTGGCCACCTCATCTGTAAGGAGCATCCTAGAAGGACTCTTCCCAAGCAGAGGTAAAGTGACCATTGAATGTACACTGTGGGATCAGACACATTTCAGCTCCTCAAAAAATCTAGAATCAGATCTTTTTCTGAAGGTGCCACATGCAGGCAGGAACCTGCCCCGGGAAAGAGGAATTTATATTTGCCCCCTCAGAGGCCCCTACATTTCCAGTTGCACTATGTGTCTGACGGTGGGGGACTTGCTACTGATTTTCCTGGAAAATGTGATTGTTTGAAAACCACCCTCCATGGAGCGTGTGATTAGTTCCTTTTGTTATTTGGGTGAGAATCTACATCAGCAGTATATCGCTACATTGCCCTGACAGCTATATATTTATGCTTGTCCAGAGGACTGTTCGCAAAGAGGAACACATGATAGTTTTTTTTTTTTTTTTAAAGATTTTATTTATTTGACAGAAAGAGACGCAGTGAGAGAGGGAACATAAGCGGGGGAGTGGGAGAAGGAGAAGCAGGCTTCCTGCGGAGCAGGGAGCCCGATGCGGGGCTTGATCCCAGGACCCCGGGATCATGACCCAAACCGAAGGCAGACGCTTAACGACTGAGCCACCCAGGCACCTCTCACATGATAGGTTTTAAGTATAGTGAATCCTAAAGGATAAAGATATACTAAGGACCTTGAAATGACCCCCAAAATGTATCAAGAAGAGCAGTTTTCTTTATAGCCCCATCCATCCATCCATCCATCCATCCTTCGTTCCATCCATCCATCCACAGTCCAGTGCAGTGCTGAATGTAGATGCCTGAAAACAGGTCTCCCATATTTTTATGAAGAGGACCTAGTGTTTATTTCCCTAAGACCTAGAGATTGCCATAGGAATAGTGCAGATACACTGAGACTAAAAAGAAGAGATGCACAGCTGGTGTCTCTCCTTCCTTGTTGGGAATCTGAGCAAATTGTAGAAATGGGATAGGCCCTGTGATAACCAATTTGGCTACCCACAAAGAAGACGTCCAACTTTGGCAGGTCAGGATCCCTCTGCTTCAGAGTTCAGCTTAGCACACATTAGGGGATGCAGTTTATCCTAAACACGTCGTTCTATGATCTCTCAGTATCCTTGGCTGCTGGTTATTTTCTGCCTTCTAAAAATGGAGGCCCCGAGCATCCCTGCAAGCCCTGCTTCTTCTGTGGGGCAAGTGGGATCCTATCTTTGGAGTTGGTGCAGTTGATCCTTTTTTTTCTGAATAGCATTAAAACTGAATTTGGAGTGTTCTATTATGAATGGCATTATTAGCTTTCCCAAGGGCCTCAGAAAGATGCCAACAATCTACTTCTTTCAAGTAGATTATCTTGTGTATCTAGGTACTCCTACCCCACACCCCACGTGGTTGAGTTGCAGGGGGGCCCAACGTTGTCCAAGGACAGCTCTATCCTCCAGCTCCTTTTCCCTACACATCCTCCCTCAAGTTCTTAGAGCTCTCAACCCCCAGTTGTTGAAAGGTCAGAGAATTAGGTGGTGTAGTAACTGGCATTTTGCCCCAATAGGATCCATTTAATGTCCAGTTGTTATTATAGACAAAACAGCTTGAACTTGTGCCTATATCCTAGAAGCCTTGTTTAACACTTTATTTCTGCTTCGCCACAAGACATGCACAAAGGGTTGCTGAGGCCAGCTCCAGGTGCCCCCACGGTCCCCAGGAACACTTATGTGCCCTTTGTCTGCTGGCTAATATTCAGACTTCTTCAGTCCTCCAAAAGTGACAGGGTGATTTTGACCCTTAAATGACAGGCTGCTGGGGGCCGTGATTTCTGACTTGGGCTTTCACTCTAGGATACCCCAGGAAGCTCACCTGTTCCAATCCAGTGGATTCTGGACATTTCGTATTTTTCTTGGCTTTCCAACCTTCTCTCTTAAAATCAACCTTATTAAAATGGGGTTGTTTCCCCCCTAAGTAATGATCAAATCACATCCCCCACTCTGAATCAGATTTGAAGTTAAATCATGTGTTACATGATACAGTTCCAGATTCCAAATACAATGTGTGTGCTCTGTTAAGTCAACCCCCAGGTTGGTTGTAAACGTCCCAAGAAGCTCTCACCCTTAACGTCTATAATCAGGGAAAGTTTATATTATGTACCTTACCTTTCCTCCCCAAGAGTCATCATGAAAAAAAAGGATGGGGCAGGTTTTCACTTCAGATTTTCATGAAATGTTGGAAAGGATGAGTTTTAAATGGTGTGCCATTAATCATAAACTTTTTTTTTTAGGTTGCATCTGATACGAGAAGGCAAGCACAACCTACATCTACGTTTTGCAGATGAATTCAATAAGTTAGTAGAAGACTTCTTACAGGAAAAAAGCCCCTGAGAACAGCAGGGACCCGGGGATTCCTTACTGTGGAGCTTGAGCCTGTTGCTGCCTTTGAAACACACTGCAGTCACTCCTTAGCTCACCTGCCTTCCCATGCTTTCTACTCCTCCCTGCAAACTGCTCCTGTCAAATAGAAATAATGACATATTAAAACGTCTTCCAGCTCTAAGTGCTACAAAAATTAAAGCTGATTTTTTTAACATTAAAGTTGTGAATGTCTACTGTTGGCTTAAAAATTGAATTCTGATTCTGATTTACTTTCTTGCCAGTGAATCTTAGGTGAAGCCTTTGGAGTATTTATGACTGTGATTCCAGGATACCTTGAATCTAGAATCATGCTGTCCCTTTTATCTGAGAGGTATAAGCCTTCACTGGTCTTTTTACTTGAATTTATCACATTGTTCAAAGTAGAGAAACAGAAGAAAATCCTTGCCTAGGGCCCTTGATACTACATTTTCATCAGGGTTGCTGGAACTACAGCAAATAAGGTAGGAAGGTTTGCTTTGTCCTTAAATCTCTATTTCCTCCACATGTTCCCTGGATTCATTTACTTTAATACTCTGGGCCAGTGAAGATGAAAAACTTTTTATCTGTCTTCACTAACAGAGCAGAAAGGCTATTAATTAAAAACATTACAGCAGAAATCCTAGTTTGTTAAAGTCACTAAACCCAGAAACATATTCAAGCATTCAGTGAAAGAATAAAAATTGCCTGAAATGAAATTAAAGAGACCACACGGTTTTGGACACATGCTTTTTTATTAGTATAGATATCTTAGACAATACTGTAATCTTTTAGGGAGTTCCACATTATTACATCAACAGTGTGAATTTCTGACAGAGGCAAAACGGAGCACCATAGTATACAAATAGAAAGACCATGCTTGATTGAGGACAACAGAAGTTCACTAAAGATGCACGATTTATTTGAGTTCTTAAGCCTCATCCTCGCCCTCCTCCTCCTCGAACTCCCCCTGTTCGTCGGCCGTGGCGTCCTGGTACTGCTGGTACTCGGACACCAGGTCGTTCATGTTGCTCTCGGCCTCGGTGAACTCCATCTCATCCATGCCCTCGCCCGTGTACCAGTGCAGGAAGGCCTTGCGCCGGAACATGGCCGTGAACTGCTCCGAGATGCGCTTGAAGAGCTCCTGGATGGCCGTGCTGTTGCCGATGAAGGTGGCCGACATCTTGAGGCCGCGCGGCGGGATGTCGCACACGGCCGTCTTCACGTTGTTGGGGATCCACTCGACGAAGTAGCTGCTGTTCTTGTTCTGCACGTTGAGCATCTGCTCGTCCACCTCCTTCATGGACATGCGGCCGCGGAAGATGGCGGCCACGGTCAGGTAGCGGCCGTGGCGCGGGTCGCAGGCGGCCATCATGTTCTTGGAGTCGAACATCTGCTGCGTGAGCTCGGGCACCGTGAGCGCGCGGTACTGCTGGCTGCCGCGGCTGGTGAGCGGCGCGAAGCCGGGCATGAAGAAGTGCAGGCGCGGGAAGGGCACCATGTTCACGGCCAGCTTGCGCAGATCGGCGTTCAGCTGGCCCGGGAAGCGCAGGCAGGTGGTGACGCCGCTCATGGTGGCCGACACCAGGTGGTTGAGGTCTCCGTACGTGGGGGTGGTCAGTTTCAGGGTGCGGAAGCAGATGTCGTACAGGGCCTCGTTGTCGATGCAATAGGTTTCATCGGTGTTCTCCACCAGCTGGTGCACCGACAGGGTGGCGTTATAGGGCTCGACCACCGTGTCGGACACCTTGGGCGAGGGCATGACGCTGAAGGTGTTCATGATGCGGTCTGGGTACTCCTCTCGGATCTTGCTGATGAGCAGCGTGCCCATCCCGGACCCCGTGCCGCCCCCCAGCGAGTGGGTCAGCTGGAAGCCCTGCAGACAGTCACAGCTTTCTGACTCTTTCCTCACCACGTCCAGGACCGAGTCCACGAGTTCGGCTCCCTCTGTGTAGTGGCCCTTGGCCCAGTTGTTGCCCGCACCACTCTGGCCTGCCAGAGGGAAAGGAGAATATTAGACACTAAAACATTAGGAATTCCAATTTCTGTCATTTGTAGACTAATCTTAAGAGTTGCAGATTCTTCTCTTTTAGATACCTTTTTACCTATGGAAAACTGACTATACAACCATGATCCTCAAAAACACTGGACATCATAATAGGATAAAAAGCAAGTTTAGTTCAGATGGAGTTATTAACTGATCAGGAAGGTGGTTTGACAAAACCCAGCTGGTTTTTTGTTTTGTTTTTTGTTTTTGTTTTGAGAGTGAGAGAGAGAGCACAAATAGCGGCAGAGGAAGAAGCAGACTCCCCTGCTGGGCAGGGAGCCTGACTCAGGGATCATGAATCTGGAATCATGACCTGAGCCAAAGGCAGACGCTTAACCAACTGAGACACCCAGGCATCCCAAAACCCAACTGGTTTTAAAATTAGAAACAGGAATCTTGTATAAATATTTACATTAGGTACCATAAACAGTCAAGGGCATCACAATATGATCCGAAGACAAGATGGGCTCCAAGCAGCTGGCCCCACGTCTGGTCATAACCCGTGCCTTTGGCCTTTGGCCTTTGGCTTCCTGACATGCTTACCTGCTGGCCCTGGTCCTCTGACATCACCAGCAGCCTATCAACTCCTGCTGGAAGGTTAGTCACTGCTCTGTATTCTTCACCTGTCACAGGCTGCTCTGTAGTTGGGGGCGGTCGGGGGGAGCGAAGGGGCCCTCTGGAGGCTGACACTGTTCTCTGAACTGCCCAGAGAGGGGCCAGAGAAGTGGCCGCCCCAGGATTAGGTGGAATTAGGCCAGGACCCAGGGCTCTCTGCGGACACACAGTCTCCACCTTGGCATTCAGCACTAAGATCTCTGACTTCCACAGTGTTGAGAAGGGAGACTCACTGAGCCAGTTGCCATTGATCGTGACTACATACCGAACACGAAGTTGTCCGGCCTGAAGATCTGGCCGAATGGTCCAGACCTGACGGAGTCCATGGTGCCCGGCTCCAGATCCACCAGGATGGCCCGAGGTACGTATTTGTTACCTGTGGGGAACAGAGCCGGCCGGCCTTAGATGTGCAGCAGGCAAAGGGATCACAGACAAGGCTGTGCTCTATGCTCCTTTCACAGCAGAATCATTAGAGAACATTCTAGCATCTGAGACGAAAGTGAGCGAATAGAGGTGTTTTCTGCCTCAGAAGAGGAGATAACAGCCTGCTTAGTCATGGCCAACATGCAGGAATCGTGAGGAGCTATAGAACGTGTTGTTTTTAGCAGCTGACATTTAAAACGAATGCAAGAAGCACGTCTTTGTCATTTGTCTGTCCTAGTACGTTCCGTCTGCCACAGTATGCAAAGCAAGGTTGACTGGACAAAAACATTCAAGTACTCACCAGCAGCTTCATTGTAGTACACGTTGATTCTCTCCAGCTGCAAGTCACTGTCTCCATGGTAACTGCCAGTGGGGTCGATCCCATGCTCATCACTGATGACCTCCCAAAACTGGGGGAAAAAAAATCACATGATGGGCTGGCATCCTAAATATCGGTTAAGGATGGCTCTTTTCTCCCTTTCATGTGCTTGGAACAGCGGCCACTGTGGTCAGCCAGTGAAGGAGTCCTAGAGCTGCACCCCCCCATTCCTCCAGGGGCTGCTGCAGAGGGGCTTGGAAATCCGCAGAGCATCGGCCATATGATGGCGACAGACTGAAAAGCTGGGAAGGGCACTGAACGAGGAGGGTGGGCACAGCACATGCCCTTCTAGGGAAAGCCACGGAGGTTGGGGGGGCCGTCACCCCCAGGCAGGGCTGAATGTCACTGCATCCCAGCTGATGGGTGGGTCCTGCCAGGACCAAGGACCACTTGGACCCCACCCCTCAACTGCCTGCAGGGATCAAAGTCTCCTGGTGCAAACCCCACCCAGCCCACCAGGCAGAGCAGTTTTAGGCCACTGACATCCAGAGGGCCTGCCGCCCCTGCCCACGGCAGGGGTGGGTGGGGAAGGGCAGGCAGGAGGAGTCTGGGAGCCCAACCGGGGACAGTGGGTAGAGCTGGGCACGGTGAGGGCACAGGCTCCATTGTGAATTTGCAGCAGGAAAGGGGGCGGGGAGGTTGGGGTGGGCAATATGGCGGTTGTGAAAGAGACCACGTCCTTGTCCAGGCGCCCGCCCACAGCCTTGCACCAGGCTGGCTCCTGCCTCGCCCACTGCAGTCGGTAGTCACAGCGCCGGGGACATCACCTGCCGCCTCGCAGACAGGAAGCCAGACTCCGACACTATGTCTCATCATGTCGAGGGTGCTCATATTAGGGAAGTTCTCTAAATCCCCGTCTTTGAAACCCAACAAGAAGCCTCTCTAGCATGTCACCCCAATGACACTGCATTTTTTTCATTCAAAGTATAGAGGAAAATTCACTAATTAAATTCCACATGAGGCCACTGGATTAATATGGCCGCTCTCCCTATCCAAATTCTAGAGAGTAATACACCCACGAAAATGCCAACCACGTCTCGCAGGGCCTTGATTAAAGGCACACCCCACTGCGTCGCCGCGAGCATCGTGGCAGGTTGTGTGGCTTCCTGGGCCCCGCCCGGCGGCCCCGCCGAGAACGCGCCACCGGGGCCGGCGGGTCGCCGCCACCTCCCCCAGGCCCCTGCCCTGGCCCGCACCCTGGGGTCCCGCCACCTCCGACCCGGGTCGGCACCCTCGGGGCCTGCCGCCCCCTCCCTGGCCCCTGCACGGCGGCGCGCCCACCTTGGCGCCGATCTGGTTGCCGCACTGGCCCGCCTGGATGTGCACGATCTCACGCATGGTGCCGGCTGCGGAGAGGGTGGTGGCGCTGGCCCTCGGAGCTGTGCGCGCGGCGCGACCGGCGGACTCCGCAGCAGAGACCAGTCGCCGCCCCCCTAGCGCCGCCTTTTATAACGGGGGAGTCGCCCCCTCCCCGGCCTGGCCCGCGATGACGTAATGGCGGGCGGGGCTGGGGGTGGTGCCGCGGGGACT